GTGGCATCACATCTCTGTTAGCTGGTTGCTGACATCTGAATAAGGTTTGGCTATATGTAAGCAGGGTTCAAGAGTATTTCATCCTCCCAACTCCCCTCCCAGCTGCTTCTCTCCCTGCTAGAAGAAAAAAAAGTTGCTTCTTTTTTCATTTTTTCCCCTTTTGTCAGATTAACAAAATGTTTGGGACCGTGGTGGTTGGAGTTGGAATTGCTGGCCTAGCACGGATCCGTGACTTGATGAATCCGATGCCTTCCAGCCCTTCTGAGCACCTGAAACTCCTTGGATTTGTATCCAGGTTAGAAATTTCGTCTTAGCATGTTTAATGTGGATATTCTAATGTTCCTTTCTTCTGGTGCACATGCCTTTCCACATGGAGGACTGTTATTTGAGGGGGCAGGGGATGAATATCCATAGTTTTATTTATATATATATATATGTATATTTTATAATTAAGGCTGTCTGAAAAGGGAAAGTTTATGCAAATATGACTGTCATTCTGAGCGGCAGCTAGGAAATGATCACAGAAAGCTTTGCAGGAGGGAACAAATAGGTTACCTTAGTGAGATACCTTGCAGAAGTGACTAAAGTAAAAGCTGAGAGGTGTTCTTGCTGCAGGATCTATGTGATACAAAGAAATGCAATTCTGTCTGACTGAAATTTCTGGTAGGTTTAGGGTGGAACAGACAATTACACTAATGAGCTAATGTCTGCATGAAATTTGTAAAATGCTTAAAAAAAGTTTTACAACATTTTTAAAATTATTTTTTACAAAACCATGTATTGTAAAGCTCCTAATGCTGCAACTTCATTCTAAAATTCTATTTTATTTTTTTAAACCAAATACCAAAACTGTAGATGTCTTTAAAGAAAATCTCATAATTTATTACTTACGGTAAGGTTGCCTCTTAGAGAGCAGCTTTATGGTTTTTCTCACTAGCTTGGAGCCATGGAAATTTGGCAGGACTGTGTTATGCATATACCTCCTTCTGAGCACTCCTGCTAGACTGTCTGCCCCATAACAGCAGAGCATAAAGGTTTTAAATAGTTAGGTGGTACATGTATGGATCTCAGACTGTGAATGTATTTTTCCAGCTATATTTAAATCATGCAGTCAGGGTTGTTTGAGACTGAAAGGACCTATTAGGTCATCCAGTTTATCTCCCTGCCAAATACACTCTTGGTTCCTTGATGCCTTTGCTAGTGCTATGGCTAGCCTTGAAGAACACTGAAGATAAGGTTTCCACTCCTTCTGCTGAGAAATGGTGCTGTCAAAATGCATGGATCACAGATGGCTTGCTTGGGTGTGTTGCCCTGCTCTTTGCATTCCAATCCCATACAAGCACTGCCTGTGTTTGCTTTCAAGTCCTGCTTGTGGCCTACCCTCGCGCTGTCTGTCACCTATCCTGACACTGTCAAGGTGTCTGCTCCAGTCTTTACCAATGCAAAGGGCTTTGCAGGGGGGAGATGTGTGTTTCATTTTCAGGTGGAGATGTGCTCAGGGTGGTGGGCAAGAGAGCCTTCCCTGTAGCACTGAAACGGCATGTGTGTTGCAAGGTATGAGCCATCATAGCCAAGCATCTGCTTTGTCCCTCTCCTGCTTGTCTGTATTTGTTGTAGTTGCGTGTGGCCCTGCCAACTCAAGTGCTTTTGCCCATGTTTTTCAAGCATGGTGTGAAGTTCTCCCATAGGAGCACTGTCCTCTTTCAAGTCACTCTTTTAAAATGACTCCTTCATAATGATGCTTATTAAAAACCAAAACAAAACACTAAAACCAAAAAGCGTTTTACACTTCAATAGCAGGTCTGTACTGATATCACCACCTATACACTGACCCATCTGTTTTCTTTTTTGTGCACTCCACTTCTGTCTGAAAGTGCTCGTGCCTTTCCTGGATTACAAGCTGCCTTTGTTCTACCCTGGTTGAACTCAGTGAGACAGTGGTCTGTGGGAGCAATTGCTAAGTGCTGCTGCACAACATGCAGTTGGGAAGAATGGACTGTGATGGTTATGCTCTGGTTGTATTCATATGCAGGAGAAGTTTTGGCAATATTAACGAGGCCAAGCAGATTAGCCTGGAAGATGCTCTAAAAAGCAAAGAGATCCACGCAGCCTTCATCAGCACAGAGAACAGAAGCCATGAAGAAACCATCAGGTATTTTGGGGTGGTTTTTTTCCTTTTTTCCAATCCTTTCTCCTGTAATTTAGAAGCATAGAGAAGCTGTATAAAGCTGTTACAGAGGAGGATGTGGACACTGGAGGAGAGACTGCCAGACTAGAAGCCTGAAGTGAATGATAGCGAGTTCCCTGGAGCACCCAATAAGCCCTAGAAGAGAGTAGGATTTAAGATGCATTCATTTCCCAAATATTTCCAACTGCATACCTCTAGGCTTGTATTTGAAGGATGGACAGCGTAAAACAGGGTTCAAAGCCTTTCCCCACAGAATATTTAGAGGAAGGGCACTCCAGTGCCCCACTCCAGCCATTGAAGTGTCTGGAAGTTAGAGATTGCAGTGCTCAGCACTGTGGCATTTTAGTGGCTTCCTGTAGGTGAGTGAGGGAATTCTGTGGAAAAAGGAGAATTAAAACTCAGCTCTCCTGGTGTTTAAACGTGTAATGTAGCCACTGCACCATCCTTGCTGGGAAATTTACCATTTATTTCTGTTACTCCATGTTGTGCGTTTCTCCATACGGGGCTGTCTGTGGGAATGAGAAGCAGCTTGCACAGTGGAGAGAGATGATTACAATGATATACTTTTAAAAGACTGATCTTGTATCCCTTTCAGGATGTTTTTAGAAGCTGGGAAACATGTCCTTGTTGAGTACCCCATGGCTTTGTCTGCTAAGGCGGCCCGTGAGCTCTGGGAGATGGCTGAACAGAAGGGTAATGGCATTTGTTCTCAAGGGTGTAAACTGTATTACCTGTTTAGTAGCACAAAAGGCATCAAATTCAAAGGCAGGGCTCCAGCCTTCTATTAATCTGACATACAAAGGAGCATGCCTGTCTCAGAGATGTGTCAATCTAGGGCTTAAGACATGTGCTAATGGGGAAATAAACAAATGTCAAGGCTAAGAGTAAGGTATGTTTGCCCTCACAAAAGCACTGGTCTCTGCTTGTGACACTAAGAATGCAAGTAGAGAAGAAAACTTCTCCTGCAGTGGTAGTAAAGCACTTAATGAGTGTAGCCATTGGACTTGTGCACTTCCTGTTCTTTCTTTCCCTGAAAATAAAACTGGAAACAGCTCTCCTAGCTTGTAGCGTTTGTGATGTGCTGGTCACACACAGCCACTAATGCTATCGCAGGCCGGCAAGGCATCCCTGTCTGAAAGACAGCTTGTCTCTAAGCAAAATCTCTTTATTTCTGGAAAGCATGTGGTCTCATCCTGTGGTGCCGAGGGGCAGAAGCTGGCAGTTCAATTGAGGCCAGTGGGGATGCATGGGGCTGCAAGGAACAAAACAGTGCTGGACAGCAGCAGAGTGCAAACCCTTGGGACAAGCTGCACTATTTATACCACTGCTTCTTAAAAATTTCCTTTGTGACTTTTGTCCTAAAACACCGGAGGTATACGGTTTCTGCTTTGCTGTTTCCCTGTACCAACACCACTTACTGCCTTGTTGCTCGCCAGATGGCTTCCCATTGAGCAGAATTTATGCCTCTTCTCTTAAAGCAGCAGCAGTTACTGTCAGCAGCCTAAACTGACTCTCCTGGAAACCTTCCAGAAAAACACACATTGAGTGAGGGCCACATTCAATGTCTGTTGGATAGCCTCTATTCCAAAGTAGCCCAATTAAGTGCAATGGAGGGACGTACTCTTTAACATATTGTTACAATCTGGGTCTGAGTACTCTTATTTTTTTCCCTTCCTTTTTCCTTCCCATGACCCTGGGAGGAAAAATGCAGAATGAGGAAATGTGAGGGGAAAGAGGCCAAGAATTAATCTTTTACTTTGAAGGCTCATGTTTCAGCCTTAGTTGGGTATTGGGTTTCATTACAGAGTTTCTGTTAAACATAGTGGCTACTGTTCCTGTAGTCTCTATATTTGTTGTCTCCTGAAAATCCTTAACCCAGATTGATGCTTCAGTGCAGGATTTGTGCTTGGTTTTCTTCCTGACATCATTTTGCCAGCTATGTGTGAGAACATTTCTAAGTGAGTTCCTGCTGGTGAAACATTTACTGCTTAGATGTGCCTGATTCACACAGAAAGCTCTTATTTAATCTGTCCTGATTTTTGGTGTGAGGGTTTTTTCTTTCTTAATGGCAGATAAAGTACTCCATGTGGAGCACATAGAGCTTCTGACTGAAGAGTACAAGCAGCTGAAAAAAGAAGTGGCTGGAAAAGACTTGGTGAAGGGAACACTGCATTTCACAGGTCAGTAGCTGTGAGGAAACCAAAGTCCATCTGGATTTGTCTGCCCGCTCCACAAGGATGTCAGTCCTTCCAGGCTTCATTCAGTCCATTTAGAAGAGAGTCTGTCTATAAACTGACTAGAGACACAGGTATCAGTTCTGGATATTTCCATGAAATTGCAGAACTGTTCACAAAGCACGTTTGCCTTAACAGTTGTCTTCTACAGGCTGTTGCTTTGCTAATCTCTTTCTGCTATCTGGTGAAGTATGCAAGCCTGTGCTTTGTTGTATGGAGGAGAGAGCACTTATTCATCCCTTCTGTACTTTGGTGATAGTGACCAATTTCTCATTCATACTGGTCTCAGAGGATGATGAGCTCTGACGAAGCATCCCAATTTCTTGTGGGGACCTTTAGTCTTCCATACTGGCGTTTGGCCCCAGAAGAGCTGGAAGAGATTTTTGAGCCATTGTTTTCTCCTTATTTTATTCCCTTGTTGAATCCACATACACCCTCCTGTCCTCAACACGTCCTGAAGGGCTTGTTGTATATGTACTTTGTGCAGCCTTCTCTGTCATAGTTCACCAACTGATCCATTTCAAGGTTGACCATGTTTGTTGCCTTTCCTACTCAGTCCATCCATCCACTCACGGTCTTTCTACACCCTGGTCTCTAAGCCTGCAACACTGCAGTTTCTTCAGCCTTTCCTATGCAGACGATGTTATTGTCTTTCCCATTTATCAAGACTTTCTGTTGCTGTTGCACTAGGTAGCGTCCTTGATGAAAACAAAACGGGATTCCCAGCTTTCAGTGGAATTGCCCGACTGACTTGGCTGGTTGACCTCTTTGGAGACCTCACTGTTACCTCCGCCACCAGAGAAAAGCAGAAGGATAAGAATTACTCCAGAATGACTGTTCACTTTCAGACAGCAAACAATAAGTGAGTAATGGCCGTGGCAGCAGGTGAGCCAGGCTCCTCAGGTATCGTCTGCAGGAGTTCTGCATCCTCTCTTCCTCTTCTGGAACCAGAATGGGTGGATGCCAGCATGAAAGTATACAAGAGAAACAGATCTGAAAATGCTTCCTATAGTAATCACAGTAAAAAGAGCCACCACCAAACAATGTGTACTGAAGAGCACAAGGAGGTTTAAAAGCTCTTTTCTGATGTCTGAATGTAGGAATGGGCCCATAATGCATTTTACTGTGCCTAAGACAGAGACCCTTCTCTTGCACTCTGAAAAATTGTTCAGAGGCAGGGATATTTTTTGTTTAGCATCAGGCATTCTAGCTGTGCATTGAAAGCTAGCATTTCTTTAAAGGTTGAAAATATGACTATTTGACAAGGTAATGCACTAGTTATAATACCTAGCTTATAGCACTATGATGTTTGTGTTAATATGTAGTACTAGTTGGACATTAAGAGAAAACTACGTATTTCAAGCAGAAGTATAATAAACTACTGAAAGGCCAACATGCGAAGTTTGATCTTGACTAATGCCTAATCTGCAGTCCTTGAAGTTTCATAGATTTTTTTTTTTTTTTTTTTTTTCCCCTGAGTGGGACAACAGTCTGTTTCCCATTTCTTGTCTTTTTGCTTTTGTTGCATGAATGTGTCAGGCTGAGTGAGAATCCAGCAGCCAGGATTACTTGTCATTTTTTCCAATCATTGCACTATAACTTTCTTGCAGAAAACTCTTTTGATGATGCTTTTTATAATAATGAGTTTGATCTCCCTTTTATTACATATCAAAGCTATTTTTAGTGGCCTTGCTACAAAATGATATATTTTTCAATGTTATATGACCATGAAGCAAATCATCGGTGTTTCATACTGTGGATTGAGAACTCAAATTGGTCCAAAGTCTCGTGGTGTATTTTGCTGGTTGGTTTGATCATTCTGGGCCATCCATGCAGAGGTCATGTCATTTCAGATAGGTTGAAGTTACTTATGATGACAGTTTACTGCATGCTATAGATTCAACTTGGGAATTGTCTGACAGGAAAAGATACAGAGCAGTTACCTGAGCTCTATATGTTTCCTAAGAGGTAGGAATGGTAATGGAAGAATGTTGTTCCTTTCCCTTCGCTTCTATTTTCCTGTTTTTCCATGTAGCATGCTCTGCCTTTGAGACAGATGACCACCTCATAGGCATGTGACAAGAGGCAGATGAGAAGAGTAGGGAGAGCAGGAGAAAATAAGACCCCATGGGAAAATATTTTTGCCTAACTTTGTTCGTAATAAATTACCCTCTTTTGTTGCACATACACTGCTAGAACACTTAAAAAAAACCCCAACAACAATGAAAAAGAAAAAAAACACCAAACATGAATTCTACTTCCTTAAGAATTTTAGGTAAGTGGTTAGTTAAAAAAGTAATAACCTGAAGGACTAGCTATGTGGGGAGTGAATAATCAGGGCTCATTTGAACTGTTGGTTTCACCATGGGTCTAGTTAAGCATTTTGTCAGTCAGTCCTACAAAGCCTGCTGCAGTTTATTGTGGGATTAGCATCTTGTCTTAGCAATCTTCCTCTCTCTTTAAATAAGACATCATTTCCAATTCCTTTTAAAATGCAGTTGCAAGAGGACAGAATTCTGTATACAAAGCTCTGTTTACTCTCTTAGCCATTTGCCAGTAACACGAGTAGCTGTAAAGATCTATACAGAGTGAGATTTTGAACTAATTCCAGCAGGTGGAACTAGTGGGTGCCTTAAAACGTTTCACTGGCTGTCCTGTTTCCTAGGTAGTCCTTGGTGCTATGTATGATATTTGCTAGATACTGAACCATTCCTGGATTTCTGTTTGTTTTTTTTCCCGCTCTACACTGCTAACAGATACCTGCTTTTCTTAGCCCACTGCTAACTATTTGTATGAGCCAGTAAGAAGTGTTTTGTCACCATGAGCTCTTTAATGACCTCGGGGACAGTCAGCTTTATGCCTCTGGAATAATTTACGCCAACTGGAAAGTTACATAGCGTTCCTGTATTCTGTTCAGTGGCGGGGGGAATTTTTCTTCTTCCCGACGTCAGTGGAGTTACAGCGGTATAGAATTTGGCTCACTCTCCATCAAGTGAAGTTATGGCCCAGCAGCAATGGTGTTACGGCTCTATTTTGCTGAAGGATGGGAAAGGTCTGCACCTTTTCTGAGAGCTATCCCATCCTTTCTTTAAAAGACATGAATGCACTAACCTTGAGAAATCAGGTTAATTCAGACTATTTTTTTCTGCCTTGGAAAATACAGCAGGTGCAGAATGCAGGAGCCTGTGTTCTGCTTGTTAAGCAGGGATTTGTGCAAAGGCTATAGTCTGTCTCTGCTGCACAGCCCATACTGGCTGCTCGTCTGTCTCTGGGTGGATTTTGGAGGTGTGTGTTAATGCCTGGTGCCTAGCTATCTGAGAGATGACCTCTGCCTTTGTTGTGTTTCCACGACAGTTGAGCTGACAGCCTCTCTGTGATAAAACATTGAGCAACCCAGGAAAAGCCAAACCTCTACTGACAGCACAGTTGGTTTGGGACTGCAGTCCCTGTCCCAGGATTACAGAGCTTGGATTCAGTAAACGTCAAAAATGGATTTTTAGTGCAAGCTGGAGAGAGAATGATTTGGGCAATGTCTCTTGATGCTAGCTAGGGGTAGGGTCTCACTGTCTCATTCCTATCTGAGGTAAGGTAGCCCCTTCTTGATTGCATGGCAAATAAAAAAAAATTGGCATTTTCAAAGTGGGAAAAGGAAGAAATTGAAGACATTTTCTGAACACATATTCTGACAATAAACATTTGAAATTATGTTTTTATTGAGATCTAAGTTTACGAAGTCTAATAAAATAGCTTCAGATCGAACATCCATAAAAAAAATCATGTGATACATGCTTTCTGCAGAAGTTGCTGCATAAAATATTAAGCTGAGTGGACCCAGAATTCTTTCATGTATGAAAACAGCTTAATTCTTCTGCAGGTACAAAGAGTGTTTGCTTCATTTTGGTTTATTGAGCTAGCACAGTCCAGCTAGTGCCACTCGTTATTTGAGAAACAGGGAATCAGAAAAGCAGAAAGTCTCTTCCAATCTCTGAATAAAATGTAGCTAGGAGAGCTTTACCAGGCTGAAATCTGGAAAGACAGAATGGCCATAGAAAGTCAGGGTGGTTTCTCCACTGCAGATAGTGCCTGCTTTGTAAAAAGTCAGCATGATAGTTGTTTGTAGGTGTTTAACTAAACTTTTTCTTCAACTGTCCAACATATTTAATGTGGCTTTATTCTGCTACCAAAAATGCTGGATTTGTTGCTTCTAAGCAATATTACTAACACTTCTAAATAACTAACTACATCCATAGCCAGATAATACTTTGATATCAATCTTTGATGAAAATGGGTAAATCATCTGTTTAAAAAAAACAGCAGCCCTTCAGTTTTCTGACATAAAATACAAACCTGTTTCTTAAGCTACAAAATTGCTTAAATAATGTGCAGTGTTGCGGCATACATATCTTTATAGCAAAAAAAGGGACTAATTCTAGTGTAGAAGTTGTTGTTAATTAAAAATTAATATGTTTTGGTTACCAATCAAGTAGAATCAACCTCCCTTTGGGAAAACAACCAAAGATCCAATCATAGAAGAAGATAAATCTATTGGTAAACCCAACATTTCCCCCTTCACTGATCTAAATCATTAATTTTAATCATTTTAATTTAATGCCAGCTCAGCATGATTGTGCTTCTGGTTCAGTGGCTTCTCTAAGCTAGAGCAGAAGGAGGCATCTGCTTGAGCCTGACCATTGGTGTGCATCTGCTCTAGATCACCTCAGGGAGGTGACCCTGTGTTGACACTGTCTGGTTTCGATCACATCGTGGACTCTCTGCTGTTACGTGGTAGAGAACTTTGCCTATGCTTGCCCAGTGGTTTCTCCATACCTGCCTACCTGAACTAAAGCAGCTTTGAATAACAGCGGCCTGAACTCTCTGTGGCTGTTTGCTAACATAAAACTGGCTCTGTTGACTCAGAGCAAAACCTGGCTTGCTCAGTGGCCTGTCTCTGACTGAGGTCAACAGCCAGCACCTCAGGGAAGGGGGATGAGAACACAGAAAACAGCGGGTGATATGGCCCTCAAGCACCCTTGTGGCCTGCAGTGACATGTAGCCTCGGGACTGCCTGAAACGCATGGCGTCTTTGCATTTATTAGTCCTCTGAGGACTTTTTCATTGCATTCCTGGAGGCTGTGATTAGGTCCTCTTTTTTTTTTTTTCCTCCAGTTGTTTTATTCTGTTCAGTCAGGTTCATCTGGCCATACTTGAATTTGTAGAGCAGGTATGTGTGTCAGTACAGGTGAGCAGAGAATAATTGATACAATGATATGAATGTAGAAGCTGGATCCTAAAGCATAAAAGATGAGAGGTGCAGAATCATTAAGCCGAGTGCTCTGCAGAATGTGTTCAGGGTAGACTGACAAGGACTTGCTTTCCAGATCTAATGATGTTGAAGATTTAATGGGCAGTACTCAGAGACAGAATTTATTCTTCATGCTATTGATGCCCTCATAATTTGTGAGTGGCAGACTAAAGTGGGCCATAAAGGAGCGTGGAAGGGCCATCAATAATGAAGTAAGAAAAATAATGTGCATCCTGTAAACACAGGCAGTAGTGAGTGCTGATGAATGAGCTGCAGAAAGGTAATGACATGGTTCAGGCAGTTGACAAAAGAGCAGGAAGGGAGGATTGTGGCTGTGGCTGGTGTGGAGGACCGTTCCTCAAAGCCTCTGCAAGCATTTGCAGCATTGGGACCAGGAGTCTGCTAAGACATCTGAAGTGGTGCAGCACATCTATAGCTTCTCTTTCCTCTGCCAGACTGGAAAGCTGGGGAGGGGAGTGCGAGGACCTGTGAGCTATGGCATTCAGTAGCCAACGCCACCACTTCTTGGCCTGGAGACTGGCTATCACATCGGCATAAGGCAGGACTTTGCTCTGATTAAGAAAGACCTGACAGAGTCTTATGTAGCTGAAGCGGGCAAAATTGACATCTTCTGATGTAATTTCTAGGATCAAGTCAGTGCTCCCAGTGAAGAGAAAGAAACGTATTTGAAACATTCGGTGGGTATGGATGCTAGTGTCTCTGTGAGTGAACGTGCTGTCTGTCCAGCTCATCCTAAAGGGGTGGTGTTCAGCTTGCACAGTAGTACCTGGGTCATCATTATGTACCCGAATGACATAAATTTATTCTTGCTGGAGGAATGACTAGACATTGAGGGCCTCGTGAGTTTAGCTGTGATTGAATCATGCACAAAATATTTGGATGTTTAACTGCACTATTCTTCCAAGTCCACAAATAGATGAAACTTCCCTGTGAGGTGGCTAGACATTGCTGGCTTCACTTTGTGCATAGAGAAAACAAAGCTGGAGAGAGCTTAGATGGTGTGCTGAGAGTCATGGCATGAAGCAGTGGCAGAGTTAAGACTATTAACTGGTGTTCAACTCCGTAACCACAAGGCATGTTGGTCAGAACATGTTACTGGAATACACACTGTCTGAAACTTAAAAATACTGCATTTATCAGGGCATTTTTTGTAAATGCTGAGGGGAAAAATGCATAAATAGAACTGTTGATTCCATTTCTTCATAAATAGTTGTCTTTTTTTTTTCTGCTCCTCCCCACTAGACCTCTGACTTGGATTGAAGAAAGGGGACCAGGGATGAGACGTGAAAAGAAAATCAACTTCTGTTTCACAAGTGGTTGCCTGGAAAACTTCCCTCAAGCCCCAAGGTCTGCTGTGGGCCTTTTCATGCAGGATCAGAACCTCTTTGCCAAAAAACTGCTGGGCCAGGTATCGAAGGAGGAGCTGGCTGCCGAGAAATGGCGAATTTTGCGGTGTCTTGACCTTGCCGAGGTGATCCAACAGCACTGTGAACAGACGGAGAAAATCTGTTCCTGAGACTGCTCTTAGGGAAGGAAAAACACAGCAGACGGGAAAGCTGTAGGTCTAGAGATCACTGTTGCCATCAAGCAGTTGCTATTTCTGTTTCATTATCATATTTTTGACTAATTGTGATTCCTAGGCTCTCTGGGTGGGCTGGAGAGCCTGGGCTATACCCTGTGCCTTCTGGTTTATGCCAGAGCAAAGCAACATTACCCTGCTCCAATGCATTGCTGTCCTTCCAGGCGGATAGGAACCTAGCAGCAACAAGCTTTCCTGTGATTCAGTTGGAAATGTCCCTGAGGACTGCAAATACTAGATATGATTATCCCTCCTGAGATTTTTTTTTTTTTCCTTCTAGAGAAGTCTGAACATGAGATGTCTCATTTAGTAGTATTCATGTAGTATTACCTAGAAATGTATTAGCTAGAATGAAGTTCCACCTATTTACTTGATCTGCAGAACCACAGTCTTGACCTTTTCTTCCAGGTAATCTGAATTGTTCGGTGTGTTTGCTCTAATTAGTTGTGCAGGTTTGGGTTTTTTGCTGGGCTTTTTTGGTGGTGTTTTTTTTTCACATTGGAAATAGTCTGCCTTCATATAGAATCTATATTGGTATCAAAACAGAACAGAAGAAATACCTTGTCTCTTGATAGATGCCATGCTGAGTTCACTCATTTAATTTCTCTGGTGCCCTGTGCAAACATAGAGATCTTTTTCCTGCAGAGATTAGAAGAGTACATTAAATTAACTCAATGCCTGCCTGCTTTCTACTGAACCTAAATATTTTTCTTTTTGTACTGGAAGCAGCATATTATTGTCCTTCATTTGTGTTCTGTATCTAATTCAGCATGTGAATGTATCACTGCTAAAAAGAATATACATCCTGCCTTTAAGAAAAAAATAACTGATGTGCTCCTGGAAACTGAAATTAATTAGAAATGGTGATAAAATTAATACAGAACTGTAGAAAATGGAGCAATTTGCAAATATAGCCATGCAGTTATGGCATTATGACCCCTGTGGGGAGGGGTCTTTAGCATTTTACAGTAGTCCCAGGGTCATGTATGAAGACATTATCACTTCCCTAAAGCAGCATTTTAGTTTTAGGAGAAGCCTAAACAGTGCACAAAACTATTAACAATTCCTCTATTTGCCTTTTACTTTCTAATTGCAGCATCTGTTGGTGCTACATTAATATAGCAGTAAACTTCAGTCTATGCAGTTGTTCTTTCAAACACAGATCCATTATTTTCCATGTTATCACTTGGGTGATTTTTTTAATAAGGGAGTTGTGAATGTATACATAATTACAGCCAGTCAATATTGATGGAAAAAATGTCTTCCTCTGGGTAAATCATGTTCATTCAGAAGTTGGATACAGTTCAGTTAGTTGGAAACGGGGAAGGAAAGACTGGGTTTTTTTCCCAAATCAGTCAGATTTTAGGAGCAACTGGAGCTTGATACATGAATGAATTCTGCATGTGAAATTTGCTTAAATCTGTTCTGTTAAAATCAGTGAAAGCCCTTCTATTTATTTCAATGGATTGAAATCCATGTGGGTTGGCAGCTGATTTATGCAGGCAGGTCATGCCACTTGTCCACACAAATGGACACTTTACTGAGCATTCACAGGGACTTCTTTACTGATGTGATGGACGTTGCCTGGGAAGATCTGATGCTGTATGAGGGAGGAAAAAGTGGGTTTGTGGCAAAATGCAAAAAGTCCATCTGGAATCAGAATTAAATTAGAATCTGCTATGTATGACAGGACACAAGAGGTCCTGTTTCTTGACAAACTCCTCAGCTGCGAATGTGAGGGGAATACCACTTGTTTACATGCTAATTGACAACAGGTAGCTGGGGAGGGAGGGCAAAGGAAAGGGAGACTTATGCTCCCTGTCTATAGGCATCAAAATTAGCCACCACCTCTCCCTGGGCGCGCTCTGCAGTTACTGGTGAGAGCAGTATTCCTCTAAGAAATGGGGAATAAATTCATACGAGCTCTGTAGAGCAGCAGTATAACATTGTGCAGTGAATCACCCTCTGGGGAAGCTTGTTTCTATAGAGAGCGCCTGGGGAAATTAGCTGGTTAATTTGAGCTGGGGAAGGCAGATGCCTAGAGCTGGATATCCTGTGCTCTCCTCCATCCCCCTCCCAATCCTCCCAGCTCACCTCCTTGCCTGCTGCTGCCTGCCCTGCTCCTGGGAGCCTGCAGCATTCAAATGGCTTTTTCAGCCATTTTTCAGCCCTGTGAATTTGCTGAGGTACCACAATGGTTTGTACATGAGAGCTGCTGGATGTCAAGCTTCAAACGTATGTATTGTTTAACCAGATGTCAAACTCGCCAATAAAATATTGGAGCTCTTAATCATTCCTTTAGTTCCCAGTGTCCTTCATTAGCAGTTCCCATTGCCTGTGCTGAAAGTGGCTCTGTCCCAACTGCTTCTTTTCCCCTCTTCCCCTCCTCGAGCCCTGTGAAGTCCTGCCAGCGACTGCAGGCTGTGATCCTATCCTAAAGCCCTCAGCTGTCTCCCTCTCCTGTTTCAAAGTTTTGAATGCAAGCGTGGTGGGGTTTGTGACCTTATCTCAACTTGTGAGCCCTCCCACGAAATTCCTGCCCTTCCGGTCCTGTCTGACTCCTGCGCAGGAGTACAGGCAAGTTGAAATCTCGGCTGTACGCTTCCAGTTCCCTATTCAACAACTGGTATGTTTGAGCAACCTTTCTGAATCTGCTCAGTAGAATCTGAAACAGGTATTGAAATGGGTGTTCTTGTGGTTTTAATAAACTGCTTTATCATAGCAGAAATACTATCAGCAGAGCTTTTTCAGATAGTATTTGGCATAGCCTGAACCCAGCCAGTTTTAGAGATGCAGAGGTATGAAAAGGTAAGTATAAGGTGTGACATGGGCAGGTTGGTATATCATGTTAGAATCATAGAATGTTTTAGGTTGGAAGGGACCCCCAGGGATCATCTAGTCCAACCCCCCTGCAGTGAGCAGGGACACCGCTAACTAGATCAGCTTGCTCAGAGCCCCATCCAACCTGCCCTTGAATGCTTCCAGGGATGGGGCCTCCACTACCTCTCTGGGAAACCTGTTCCAGTATCTTACCACCCTCACTGTAAAGAAGTTCTTCCTTATATCTAGTCTAAACCTACTCTGTTTTAGTTTAAAACCATTACCCCTTGTCCTGACACAGCTGGCCCTACTAAAAAGACTTTCCCCCTCTTTCCTATAGGCCCCGTTTAGGTACTGAAAGGCTGTAATCAGGTCTCCCCGCAGCCTTCCTTTCTCCAGGCTGAACAAGCCCAACTCCCTCAGCCTGTCCTCATAAGAGAGGTGCTCCAGCCCTCTGATCATTTTTGTGGCCCT